CCTCCCCCTATTCTCCATCCCCCTGCTCTCCTTCCCCTGCTCTCCTTCACCCTGCTCTCCACCCCCTGCTCTTCCCCTTCTTCGCACAGCCGATATCGGCCCGCTGGACTCTCTACCAGCAGCAGCAGCCTTCCCGTACCCTTAGTCTGAGCGTGAATCCTGACTCTTTCTCCGCTTACACCCAAGTGGAAGGCTCCCTTAGGGCTTGAGGGTTGTTGCCGCTCCGCGTTACCCGTCCCTAGAGAAATCTTACAGGGAGTAAGGGCTCGGGTAAGGGAGGGGTAAGAGATATGCGGCTGCATCGGCGACATTGCCCTTCGGCGATTTTAAGCCTGTTGTCATTTGAAGGGTCGCGCCCGCACCGCACAATCGGCCTCAGTGACTGGGAAAGTGCTCAATCAAGTGTGCAAACTGTTTCACTATTGTAAGTGTACAACTACAAGTTGGATGGATACTTGGAAGTGTTTAACTCTTGAGTTGGGCGTTTGCAAGCGTTCAACTCGGTAGCTGTACACTTCCAAGCGTGCAACTCAGTTCAACATCAACACGTCCTTAGATATTAGACGTGCAACCGTGTGCAACACTTGCAAGTGAATAACCACTGGAACAATTGCAAGTATTTGACATACATTTGCACACCTGCAAGTATTTGACATTAATTTGCTCACTTGGAACTATTTGACAGAAATTGCACACTTGGAAGTGTTTGACATAAATGTGCAAAATTGCATGTGTTAGGCAGTTGCACACTTGGTTTAACGGTGAAGTAGGGGGGAACCTCTGCAGTGCGAGCGGATGAGGGAGAGAGGGGGAGAGAGCGGTGCCTGGCCGGCCTGGCCTGCCTGCCCGCGGTCAGCGCAGTCACGGACTATTAGCGCTGATCCGGCCACGCCGCTCCGGCTTTACTTTTTACCATATTTCTCTTTGCTCCGGGATGGCGGGGGGCGGTGGGGCAGGGGGAAGCAGGTGGACCGTGATTGAGAAATGGGTCGGGCTGCCGGGCGGAACGCTCCGTTGCCGTGACGTTTGGTGGCAAGGGGAAAAGGAGGGGGGGGGGGCAGCGCCCACAATCCTCCTGTGACGTTTAGCCACTGACCCAGCTCGCTACTCTGAGTGGATGTGTTTTTTCCCTCCCTTGTTGGGAACACGGCGGCCGCTACTCCGGGTCCAGGGGCCCCGATCCTCTTTGCTGGAAAAAAGACGATGCCTCGTAGAGCAGCAGGGTTAGGCCGTCGCCCAGCCTCGACCTTGCATCTGAACTAACCGGCGCTGAACGAGGGAAGGCACCGTCACTCGGCCTTAAACGAGTGAACGAACGCTCCACACCCAAGTCACCACCCTCCGCCTATACTATATGTGAAATCCAGATTGGCCATAAGAAGTAAAATTGAAGTCACATATA